GAAATTTCGGGCATGATACGGACGAATGCATCGTTCTCCGCAGACAAATTGAGGCACTTATCAAACAAGGATATTTGGGCCAATTTGTAGGAAAACCGGGAAATGCCCGGAAAGGGAGGAACCTGACATGGAGGCGTTCCGATCAAGCCACCACGTCCAAGGAGAAACAGCCCCTTGACCAACCTCCAAAGAAGCGCGAGCTCGGGGCTCTGTCCGAGGATGACGAGTGCGACCTAGGGGAGGGAGCCCGGAAGCATCACAGATGCTCCTACATCGTGGGCGGCCCCCAAGGAGGGGACACGTCAGGCGAAAGGAAACGATGGGCTCGATCCTTGTACGTCGGGGAAATTACCCGGGTACCTGCAGGAAAGAAGATGAGAAGAGATCCGATCTACTTCACTGATGATGACCTACCACCCATGCCACCACCGCATAGGGACGCCTTAATGATTAAGGTGGAGATCAACAATACAATCATTCATCGAGTTCTAGTAGACAATGGAAGCTCGGTGAACGTAATGTATTACGACACATTCCAAGGCCTTGGTCTGAGCGGGGCGGATCTGAGTCCGGTAAGAACACCTTTATCCGGATTTACCGGGGACTCAATCGAATCGGAAGGCAGTGTGGTGTTGCCTGTGATGGTGGGTTCAGAACCCTGTGTAGCAAAGTTGAACCTGGAGTTCATTGTCGTACGTTTAACCTGTCCGCACAAAATCATCATGGGAAGACCCGCGTTGGAGGACTTGAGATGCATTATCTCTCAGGAGCATTTATGTATGAAGTTCCCCACCCCGAACGGGGTCGGGATAGCTCGGGGAGATCAAAGGATGGCTCGGAGTTGTTACATGAAGGCGTGCAAACAACTCGGACAAAAGGACCTCAGGGTCCACACTATCAACAGCAAAGCCATGAAGTATGAGGATGGCCAGCTCCGCGTTGAACCCACCTCCGAGGTTGAAGAAGTTCATATCGATCCCGGGCACCCGGAGCGAAAGATCAAAATCGGGTTGGGGCTCCCAGCCGGGATGAGAGAGAAGATCATCCAAGTGTTGGTCACATTCAGTGTTATCTTCGCATGGGGCCCTGAGGATATGCCGGGGTTGGACCGAAGTGTGGCCGTTCACAGGCTAGCGGTCGACCCGACGGTGAAGCCGATCCAGCAGAAGAGAAGACACCTCTCGGTGGAACGAAGGGATTTCATGAAGAAGGAGGTGGCTATGCTCTTGGCTATTAAACACATCAAGGAAGTATTATACCCAGAATGGTTGGCAAACGTGGTCCTGGCACCGAAGCCCCCGACTTGGAGAATGTGCGTCGATTACACAGACCTTAACAGAGCATGCCCGATGGACCCCTTCCCTTTACCTAACATAGACCAGCTAGTTGACGGGACAGCCGGGTGCGAACTCCTCAGCTTCATGGACGCATTCCGGGGGTATCATCAGATATCCATGCATGAAGATGATGCGGAGAAAACCTCTTTCATCACACCGGAGGGGATCTTTTGCTATCTAGTCATGGCTTTCGGCTTGAAGAACTCCGGGGCGACGTACACGAGAATGGTTGCAAAAGTGTTTCGAACAGTGCTAGGAAGGAACATGGAAGCGTATGTAGACGATATGATCGTCAAGAGCGTACGAGCGACAAACCATGCCGACGACTTAGCCGAAATTTTCGGGATCATGAGGGCAGTCCGGCTGCGCCTGAACCCAAAAAAGTGCATGTTTGCTGTCCAGGGCGGAAAATTTTGGGGGTACATGGTCACCCGGAGAGGGATAGAGCCGAACCCCGAAAAGATGAGAGCAATCCTTGACATGGAACCTCCGAGGTCGGTGAAGGAAGTGCAGGTTCTCACTGGGCGGCTGGCATCACTTGGGCGTTTCATGTCAAAATCTGCGGAGAAGTCCCTACCTTTTTTCCGGGTTCTCAAGAAACAAAGTGGATTTGCGTGGACGGATGATTGCCAGCGGGCATTCGAGGACCTAAAGAAGTATCTTCTCTCTGAACCGTTGTTGAGCAAGCCGAGGAAAGGAGAAACACTGGTATTGTATTGGGGAGTGTCGCAGGGCGCGATCAGCTCCGTGCTGGTCCGTGAGGAAGGCGGGATTCAGAACCCCGTATACTACGTAAGTAAAACCTTACAGAATGCGGAGCTGCGGTACACCCCGCTCGAGAAGACCATCTATGCCGCTTACATCACGGCGAAGAAGTTGACTCATTACTTTCAAGCACACCCGATCAGAATCCTGTCGGATCAACCCCTGGGCGCAGCATTGAGAACCCCGGGAACGACGCGGGTCGTGAAGTTGTCGATGCTTCTCAGTCAGTACGAGGTCGAATTTCAGCCCCGATCATCCATCAAAGGGCAGGCACTTGCGGATTTCATTGTGGAATGCACGGCGAGGGAAGTTACGGAAAGACAAAGAGATAGTGAAGAACAGTGGTGGACCCTAGCGACCGATGGATCGTCCGGGACGAAAGGTTGCGGGGGCGGGATCGTCTTGATCTCGCCTGAAGGGTTTCGAGCGTACTACGCTTACCGGTACCTGTTCAAAGTGTCCAATAATGAAGTTGAGTATGAAGCCCTGTTGTCGGGGCTACGGATAGCTGCGGCCATGCGAGCGGAATGCATAACGGTGAAGTGTGATTCTCGATTAGTCATATCCCAGGTGAAGGGTGATTTCGAGGCAAAGGAAGAAAGGATGGCGAAGTACAGGGATGCTGTTCGGGAATTACTCGGATTGTTTAGGCGAGCTGAGCTGGTTTGTGTGCCGCGGAGCCAGAACGGGGATGCCGACCTCTTATCACGTTTGTCCCAAGGAGTACCCGAACACATATCCAAGATTGCACGGGTGGAAGAAATGATAACTTCAAGCATAACAGCTTCCCCTTCGGTAACCGTCCTTCCTCTACAAGAAGTAAATTGGAGCTGAGTGGACGATTTGTTGCGTTACATAGCTGACGGGACCTTACCCGAAAAGGAACATGAAGCGAAGCTCGTCCAGCGACGGGCCCCGAGCTATGTCGTCCTGGACGGTAAGCTGTATAAACGGTCTTACAACGGAGCATTGTTGAAGTGTCTACGACCACACGAAGCCGAGATGATTGTCGCGGAGCTCCATGGCGGTGTTTGTTCGGCCCATCAAGGTGCATGCACCTTGGCCAGGAAAGTTGTCCTCCAAGGGTATTTCTGGCCCACAATTATGAAAGATTGTGCCGATTACGCAAGGAGGTGCGACACATGCCAAAAGTTTCAGAAGAGCCCCGGAAGGCCGGCGACGATGTACACGCCTGTTAGCACTGCTCTACCATTCACTCGATGGGGTATAGATTTGGTTGGTCCCTTACCAAATGGGTCCGGAAATAGAAGGTTTGTCATCGTGGCCGTGGATTACTTCACGAAATGGGTGGAAGCAGAGCCGCTCGCTAGCATAACACATCTGCAATGCAAAAAGTTTATATGGAAGAATATCTTTTGTCGATTTGGAGTTCCTTTGCAAATTATTTCCGATAATGGAAGGCAGTTCGATTGCGAACCATTCAAGCAATTCTGCGTCGAATGGGGCGTGGAGTCAAGCCGGGTGTCCGTTTGCTATCCCCAGGCGAACGGGCAAGTGGAGAATACCAATCGCACGATTGTAGATGGCCTCCAAAAGAAATTGGAAGCTCTCGGGACAGTGTGGGTTGAAGAGCTGAGTAACGTGTTGTGGACATTCCGAACTACCCCCAGGAAGGCGACAGGCGAAACCCCTTTCGCTCTATGCTATGGCTTTGAGGCAAGGGCCCCGTTTGAGGCGGTGATTCCCAGTCGTCGGGTGGAGGAATTCGAGCCAACCAGCAACGAGGAGAGGCTCAGAGCTGAACTCCACCTCATAGAAGCAAGAAGAGACCGGGCATTCATTAGGGCTGAGAATTACCGTAGGCAAGTGAAGGCGTACCAAGATAGCAGGGCCGTGCCACGGAGCTTTGACGTGGGAGATTACGTGCTAAGGCGGAGGAAGGCAAGCAAACCCACGGAAGGGGGGAAGCTTTCCATCAAGTGGGAAGGCCCCTATGTCGTCGAAGGCGTGATTGGACCAGGGACTTACAAATTGAAGACTACGAAGGGAAAACTCATTGAACGTGCATGGAACGCGGAGCATTTACTTAAGTTTTATCAGTAGTGATGTTTAATAATTTCCTTCCATTGCTTTAACACGGTTGCTTTAATAAAAGTTCGTTTGTTGTTCTCTATTTATTATTGAATTGACTGAGGTCCGACCTCACTTGGGAATGAACGGGCAGGGGCAAAAAAAAAAAAAAAAAAAAAAAATCACGCCCTGCTCTCGGTGTTTAGTCCGTCACTGCTAGATCCTCGGAAAAGGAAATGATCAAACTATTTTCCAAGTCAAGGACTAGCTACTCGGTCAGGGCGACCGTTAGACCGGCCCTCGGGTCGAAAAGGTAAGCGAGAGGTTGCGCCCCGAGCCGCTCTCGTACATCCGTTGTCCGACGTTGCTGTCTAAACAGCCTGTCCACTCATTTGATCTAATCGACGGTACACCAACTATATGACCGGCCCTGGGCCGAAGATATGCGAGAAGTCATACTCCGAGTCCTTCTCGCGAGTCCGTTGTCTGACGTTGCTAGGCTTAATAGCATGTGTACTCGTTTACTATGATCAATGGTGCGGGTCCGTTCTGGTCTGACCTTGAGGGCCTTGCCCTTATGTTTGGCTGACTTCCGTTCGACTCTCAGAAAAGGAAATCAGATTTTCTTAAGTATGAAACAAGTTGTACAAGTCAAGGTGCAGGACCGGCCTCCGGGCCGGAGGTATGCGGGGAGTCGTGCTCCGACCCCTTCTCGCACATCCGTCGTCTGACCACGGCCAAACAGCTTGCTCACCAGTTGGTCCTAGACCGATGGTGTGCGGGTCAGCCTCGCCTTACCAAGCGGGGCGCGGTCAAGGTTGGCCCAGCCGACCTTCCGCCCCTCGTGGTTTAGGTGGGGAGCCAGATCCCCGACTAGTTCCCCAAGTGGTCTCGAATCAAAAATGGTTAAATGAATGGAAAAGATGAACCATGACACGGGTGCAAAGTTGCGCAAAGAGGAAAGCTTATATGGCTAAGTGTGAGAATAAATAAAAACACAAGTGCGGAATGTAAAGCGGAATATCCAACAAAAATGAGAATAAAGACGACAATATAAGAGATCCATATCTACGATCTAAGGATCAGGCATGTTCTCAGGAACACCATTGAGGATAGTCTCAAAATCAAAGCCATGAACGGCATCTTCCAAGTCATCTGGAATATCCAAGTGCAAAAGGGACAAATCGTTCGCTTGCTCGTTGGCCCCGTCAGGATCTGGCATGATTTCGGGCAAACCAAATTTTTCGGGATCGAAGTCGGGATAGAACTCTGCCAGCCTATTGTACAACGTGGTCTGCATGTCATATCGGCCACACCTGAAGGACATGAGAATTTCTTTATCCCGCCAAAGTTGACCCTCCTCGGTTTTCAACCATGCTTGGACCTGCTCTGAGCGGTGAGCCTCCAGCTTCGAAGCGATGATTTTTGAAAATTCCGGGGATGTTTGAAATGCCGCAACTGCCTGACGCCCCGCATCCGTGAACGATGCTTGCAGTCGATCATACTTCGATTGTAGGAAGTCATATTTTGACTGGAGCTCGGACAGAGCAGCTGTTGCTTCGTCCGCCCGACGCTGAACGGCAACCGAGTGACGGTGAGCCTCGTCAGCCTGGTGTTGGAGCTCATCGCGACGACGACCTATTGTTTGAAGCGCGACGGCTGTGTCCATTAGCCCCTGCAGGAGACGTAGAATTAGTGAGGATTATAGTGACAATGATAATAAAAAAGGAAGAGTGAAACGTCAAATTACGGCATACCGCGCTGTAAGATTTGATAGAGCGCGCCATATCCAAAATCGATGAAGCACTGAGGGTAGGAGCTGGCTGGTTAACAAGAGGGGCCCCGTGTTGTTTTTCCACGATGAAGGGAATGACTTCAGTCCTCGAAGGCCGGAACCTGGCGTCCTCCTCTGCGGCCAGAGCAGCGAGCCTGCCCCGCATACCAGCAACCTCTGCAAGAAATAAACAGAGTAAAATGGATTAGTACCGGTTGAACTATTTCTCCGCTCCCGAATCAAAGAAGAGGATTCACACCTTTCTTCTTCTTACCGGCTTGTTCCCCATGACGTGGGGGAACCCCGCTCTTCACCCTGACGTCTACCTCGGGCATGGCGGCGTCGGGCATGCCCCTACTTGCAACGGGTACCACGGACTGGGGGGCAACACCCTGCCCGCTCTTGACCCCGGCGTCTACCTCGGGCATGGTGGCGTCGAACACGCTCCTACTTGCATCAGGTACCACAGACTGGGGGGCAACACCCTGCGCCGTAACTAGGCCTGCTTGAAACGGAAAAAAAGAAGAAGAAGGAATAAATAATAAAAATAAACAAGAGGGTGGTGGAGTTATTTCAGCCGGGTCTTTCTCCTCTTGAATTAGAGTGGAGTTCACACCTTTTCCGTCCATGGCAACCTGCTTTTCACGGAACGGGGAGGCCCCACGCTTCTCCCCAAGATTGGGCGGACATAAATTCGCACCAGGCGCAGGAGGTGGGAGCATGGTCCCCAATGACACATTGGGGGCAGCAACTTCGTGTCTGTTGCCTGCCACATCTGAAAATATTAGCAAATTAAGGGATGATCTCATATGGCATCTGTGACCTGCTGGGACAGAAGATTTACCTGTATACGAATTAATCGGGAAAGGGCCCCCTTGGAGCAAGACCTCGACCTTCTCCTCTAGGTCAGGGGTGAGAGAGGCAGGCTTGTACTCGCGCATTGAAATACCCCAGGTGGACGTGACGGGGAGCGAGCGGGGAGCGGATGCCCATACCCATTTATTCGACCACTTCCTAGGTGGATATGGATACAGATCAAAAAGCTTGCGGTGCGGTAATTGGCAAAGTGACACGAACCCGCCGTCATCTGTCTTATTGTTAGGGCGGTTCCACCTAAAGCATGCACGGAACAACGGTATGGATGGCCGGATACCAACGCCACTACAACGTGCGACAAAAGCAGCCGTAAACATATGTGCGGTTGGGGTCATCTGGCACGGCGATACCCCGATATGGGCAAGGAGTGCCACCAAGAATGGACATAAAGGCACCCGCATGCCCCGCGCGATAGATGCAATGTGATCCCCGAAGAACGAATCTGGAGGAGGGCTGGTGAGGCTACTCTCGGGATCTGGCAACATGAGGGTGCAATTGCTATCGACCAAACTTTTCGCCAACTTCAAATCTGCCTCCGTACTGGTGGAACGCAAACGTTCCCTCCAAGCGTTAGGATCTTCGACGCTATCCGATTCGCCATTTGATTTGGGGGAGCTATCCGACTGTGAGGCAATGTCCACTACAGGGGTGACGTTGTTGGAGGATGGCACAGACTGGTCATGTGGCCCCCCCGGAGCAGGCCGGAGATGTCCCTTAACGATCACAATCCGCGTAGCGGGTCTGTCCAACCGCGAGGAGGTGGTGACCTTTTCATGCATCGAAAAATTATCGGAGACCCCTTGATTTTTCCCTGATGCCCCGAATTCGAGTTGAGACGTTGCATTCACCCCGCTGGCTTGAATTTGTTTAACCGAACCTCCACGCACAGACTCTTTCCCCACCTCGCCACGATGGGCTCGTGCAACCAAGTTCCCAGACTGTGGCAGTGCGTCCGCCTCGCCCGGGGGGTCTCGCACAGATGATATTTGACCCGCTGGAGGTTTCTGGGATTGTTTGACAGACGGACGACGTTCACGGGTGGAGAGGGCACTATGATGAGCTCCGTGTCGTGAACTGTGTTGAGAACCTGTGCGTAGGCTTGGAACAGGCGGCGATGATGACTTTGAATCACTGGGTTTTTTCCGACCGCCTGGGCTACGAGATCGCGACGGCGAACAACGTCGTGAATGACCCTCCCTCCGGCGCGACGGAGAAGGGGAGCCGCTGCGTTTCCTTCGCCGACTGGGGATGGAGCGACGCGGCGATGCCGTGGCTGCGGCTGGAACGGCTGAAGCTGAGGGGACCTGCATGGCTGAATTGCGCGTGGATGATCGAGGGTGTTAAGGCTAGGCCACGCTCGGATTCAAGGAAATTAAAAGAATATGGAAAGAAGAAAAAAAGGAAGGAAATTATTAATTGGAATAGCTCCGGGTTATTTTAGGAAGCTGACCTGGGGTCTCTGTGACAAAACGCGAAGGCTTGGACGAGATTCCAACCCTGACTGCGGGGTTCTTTATTGGTCGGGTGTGCGGCTAAAGCCCATGTATATCCGTCGCATGGTCAATATACGGCTACAGAAAAACAAGGCTCGTATTTTGGAATTTCAGGCCCAAATTATTGAAGCTGATGGGAAACGTCGCAAGCAGTAGGGAGCAAAGCAAAGGGGCCGATCAAGGCCGGCAAAGTATGGCCCCCCTACGGGCCAACGATTACGTTGACGAGCACCCCAGACTGTTACAATGGAGGTGCGACTAGCCAGCCGATCCGATAGACGAACCGATCGTTGATCAACTTGACTACTCCCTTCTAGCCGAGTCTGCTACTCGACTAGGGGAGTGGGGGACTCGTGTTGGGATAATGGGCCAGGTCCAATACTATCGACCCAATATGCCTGGGCTCGGGCGCGAACCAGGCCCAGCACACGGTCCGGCTAGATAATATGGTCCTTGGATTGATTAGTTTAACTCTGGGCCCGACCAGCCCATTGGCCTGGGATCAGGCTTCTTGTTTTAGTTGTTTAATTGGGCCAAGCCCATTAGTATTCAAGAAACCTCTTGTAAGCGCCTATAAATAGGCCGCCCCTCTTTTTGTATTGGATAAGTCACTTTTACTGTACTGAATTGCTGCCGAATTTTCTACTCAACATATTTTCTACCAACAGATTTGTTTTTATTTATAAAAATTAACAAATATACTTTAGTTTACAAAGTTTAAAATGCATATCAATTAGTATATGTAGTTATCCACAAACGAAGACTTGTCTCAATCAGAGACTCAGAGTATATAATCATGAGTATCATGCTAGTATAGTATTCCCTTCGACTCTACTCATTTGCAAGCACTGTGACAACTTCATGAAAAGTGAAAACAGAGGGAAAAAATAATTAGCAAATACTAAATGCGAAGAAAAGTGATGGAATTGTAAAAACTAATATGCTTTTCTCATATAAACATATTATATGCTTGAGATTATATGGTCTGTGCACATAAAATTCGTGTAAAACAGAGTGAAAAAAATATTAGCAAATACTAAATTGTAAAGACTAATATGCTTTTCTCATATAAACATATCATCGAACACCTTATATGCTTGAGATTATATGGTTTGTGCACGTAAAATTGAGGTAAAAACAGAGTGGGGAAATCATTTAGCAAATACTAAATGCAAAGAAAGATGATGGAGTGAGCAAAATTCGCATTGTACCTGTTTTATTATAGAGGCAATAGCATACTTTTCTAATATTATAATGATATATATAGCCATAATATGTAGTGTAGCATACTTCTATTTAAGATCAGATGAAGCGGGGCATTTTCAGTGAGTAAAAGAGTGCCAATAACATCCCAAATCTAGAAATAAAGATTTAAGAAGGTATAAGTAAGAAAAAGTCCTTATGTAGAAAATGATTAGAAGTCAACTCTGCAAATTCATCTTCTTAAAGATTTGCCTTTTTTCTTATCAATCTCAATACAATTTGATATTTTAGTTTCTCTTGATTAAATATAAATTTCTGGTTTTAAGTAAAATTTCGCACCAGATATGCTAAATGTAAGCCCTATGTAGCTTATAACTTGAGAAGAACACATAAGTTATGATTATGATACAACTCAGACATCTAACTATTTTGTAAATTTATAACAACTATAATGTTGTCTTTCTAAGATTATCTAAACAATTAGTATAACATCACATTAAGAACATAGTATTGAAGAATAAAAACCGGATTCTCTACTATTAAAGTTCTGTTTCTTTATACTTAGGGTACATTGAAAAATGTCCTTGTGAACTAAGCATTTCATCGAACAACATGTGTGCTAAATATACTTGGAGTACATGAGTACTATCTTAGTCCACTAAATTTCAGTATATTTGATAAAAACAAAAGATATATTACCCTCAAAATCTACAACGTAGAAGTAGAACTCAATGCCTATTGATGGGTAACTATATGAAATTTTATGAAGAAAAGGGCTATAAAAAGCTAAAACATGAACTTAGAGTCTTAGAGATTACCCCTCTAAAGTATGAAGATCGTGTGGAACTCAGACAAACATTCACTGATCCACATGATGTTGGAAATATGATGAAATAAATAATGGTATAATATATGAAATAAGTGTGGCTTATTATACATTAAAGAACAACTTGCATGTTCGGATCTATTTCATACAATGACTAGAATCCATAGTTGTGAAAGTTGTAAATGTAATGTATTAGTTTAGTGAATTTATTGTCCAACAATTAAAATAAATGGTGGTTTTATGATTATATGATAAGGAACGATGTTTAAGTATCATATAAGGTGACTTGAAATAATTTTGTATGTGTGCTCATTCACTTGCTCGGACCAAACAGAATAACGGGCCGGTACACAAATATTTTAATTCAGAAAAAAAAAACCATTTAATTTTTGGGACAAAAATTCTGAAATGAGTTTAATAATAAAATGGAGAAGCCTGCGAAATGTTTAATTGCACTAAAGTAATCTTGCTGACTAAGTACAGATATGGACGTGTACTTTAAATTTAAATTTAAAGTACTTGGCTTGGTCATACTTGGTTAAACTTGATCCGGTCATCATGCATGGATCATGGCGGCAACTTTATAGGAGCAGTTAAGCAATTTTGACCAATTGTTGGTATATGTATACCAGCCTGATTTCCACGTAAAAGAATTCCACTACATGCTCCTATAATTCTCTCACGTACAGAAGCTTTTGAATTAACTTATCTCATTTGTTTTCCCATTCAATTGAGAACCCCATAAACTAGTTCTTCTCTCAGCATCTCTTTTAATTTCTACTCTTCAATTCGAAAGAGTGCTGTTCATTTTCCGAGAGACATAAATTTCCATAGTTTATACTAGTATTTTTATTTCCGGCTCATATCCATTAATTGGCAATCGGGCAACGGTCGAGGTGTTTCTGTCAAGCAAGCTAAAGGACCGGAACAGAGGTAGGATTATCCTGGGAGCGAGTTGGTCAGTCCCGTTCGAGTAGCTATCGAGATACGGGGGCTATCTTTCTTCAAGGCCAGTCCGGTCAACGGACGATCTTACGCTAAGTTTTTCATTCTCTACTTTTCACATTATTATTTTATTTCTAATTATTATTATTTCTTTATCTGTTCTTGCATTTGGTGGTTTGTCTGGTGATTTGTGATTAAACTCGGGATTTTATCTGACTAAACTCGCATTATAAATACAATTTTTTTTAACACATGAAGATTAGGCTGATGTGTGTTGAAATAGGGAGAACAGTTTGATTTGGATCGTAAACCTTCTGGGTGCGCAGGAGGAATCTCTGTATGCGCAGGAAGACGGGAGTGATTTTAATAGGTGGGTTTTTTTCTTCGAAAAAAACAAGCCACGTGGAGTGCCGAGAGAAGCAGAGTGAAATACGGACCGTAGAACACGTTAGATTATTAGAGGGCATATTTGTACTTTGAACAGCTATTTCTTTTCTTATATATAAATAGAATAGAAGCTTGTAGCTGTGAGAAACCCTACTAGGCCGCTATACTTTCATGATTTGATCTTATCTCTTTATTATAATGGATATTTCAAATTAAATATTAATACAAATGATATGATATTAACTTTACGGAGAAATCGTACTTTTGATCTTAGTTGTTCAAATTTTTGTATGTCTTCCTTTCCCCGTGTATTTTTGAGCTAGAACAGAGACTACTAATATACACGGCCGAGGAACATATTTTCAAAAGAACCGAGTGATTGGAGATCACATTTAAAAAATAAAAAGACATGAGGATGACATTTTAATATGAGTACTAATTGAGGGGCCAAAAATATGATTTCTTCTATTTTGATTTAGTCAAATACTACAATTTATAAGCACATTTTGGTTGAATTGACTTAATTGCTTGAAAATGATGATTTTAGCTATTATTACATATAATTTTTTTCTCTATGTTGTTAATAAAATATATTTTAGTATACCTCTTTCTGAATTCATCATATTCAGCTCGTTCATCCGCTCCAGTCAGAGTGTCATAAACTTCGGTAGATTCAGGCAATTCTGAGATCGTTATACTATGTGCACGGTGACCGACCTCACGATTACGTATTTTACTCTCTTTTTCTTCCCACAATTAAGTGTATCATTTTTCTTTTGCTTCTTCTTTATTATTTTTATTTTCTTCAATTATTTAATCCTTTTCCATCAAAGTACAAAAAATGTAATTGCAATTTTACTTTTCTTTATCGATCTTTGATAGTTGTTATACTTACTTGTGTTTAACATATGTATTTATAAGTATTTGTTTAATACCTTCTGAATGAGAGCTAAAGCATAAAAACATTGCGATGACGGATTTTTTGATCAAGAGAATGACGTTCTGCCCATAATTCGAGCATAACTTATTGTAGAGAGTTCCAAATGACTCGATTCAAATCACATGTGATTGATAACTCAATAAGATACAAATGTTGTGAAGTCGTCATAACAAGAATATGAAAGAACCAAGATTCAATAAAAAATTAAAGTCGTGATGTTTTTATTTATCATTTTACAAATACAAAAGTAAGAATGGGATCTATTCAGATCTTTGAAAGAAAATTTGAAACCATTTGAAGGGCCATTATTAATTTAGTATGAATTCATTTCTTGAATTTCTTTTGAATGTTGGATGTAAGAAACGCAAGTTCTTGCTTGTTATCTGTTAAACGCTAAGAAATAAAAATATTTTTAACCAATGTCGTTTTAAGTTGTTAAATCCGTGCTACATTCAAAAAAATTAAAAGAGTAGTTTGTCAGATGTACAAAAAGGTTTTACTATACTTCCACTACATTGAAAAAACACATTGAAAAAACACATTATATATCGAGTCGGATTGAGTCAGGTTTTGGCTAGGACCGTAAAAAACCCAAAAACCTTCAGGTTCTACATTTTAGGGCCCGATCAGTGGACCAATGCTTTCGGGCTGGTCAGGGTTTTAAGAGCCTCGGGTTTGGGTTGGGTTCGGGTCGGGTTGGGTTGAATCAAAAAAAAAAAATTAAAAAAAATGAATTCATAATAGGTATTGTGGGACAACGTTGGTTACGATCGATATCTTCTGTTCAGCTATTGTCTCCATTACAATATACTGGAAATCTATGGAACACGAAAAAAATCAAAATCATAGAAATAATATACTGAAGATTATTCCCAAAAAATCACTATTATTATGATTTTTATAGCTACAACTTTTACAGAATTGAGAAATATACCCTCAGAAAATAAGAATATACTTAAAAGGTAAAAACCCTTCTACTTCCACATCAAAGAACTTAGATATGCCCTTTGTACTTCATAACCTGGAAATCTTAATTCAATTAATTACTCTTCATATCAGAACTACTAGCGTTTGATCGCGCAACGCGCGAGAACTTTTGCGCAACGTAAAAATAATGTTTTTTTTTGTAAATAACTATCATATGTGAGATTGTTATGAGATTTTTTAAATAGTGCGAAATTATCCTACTTTCATTATAGGAATTTTATCAATTTGGGACCTGAAAGATAGACGAATTATCAATCCGGGACCTAAAAGATGAAATGTATCGGTATAGGACTCGAAAGATGAAAAACTATCAATCTAGAATCTAACATTTCATATATTTTGATTTATTTAATTTTTTATTAATTCCATTGCTACTATTTGGTGAAATTTTCTTTACAAAAGTTTATTAGTTTAATAAAACTAAATATTATTTAAATTTTTTAAAATAAAAATAATAATAAAATTTATGAAAATTTAGGTCTTAAATTGAAAGGTTTTAATCATTCGGATCCTAGATTGATAGTTTTCCATCATTCGGGTCCTATACCGATACATTTCATCTTTCAGGTCCAGAATTGATAGTTCGTCTAACTTTCAGGTCCTGGATTGATAAAATTCCTTCATTTATATGTGAGATTGTTATGAGACTCTTTTTAAATGGTGTACAGAATTGTTCTACTTTTTTTCTAAATAATTGAATCAATTATATTTTTAGTCCGCCAACTATTGTATGGATGATGTTTCAATATTTTTTAAATTTATGTGATTCTATGAGTTGATTATATTTTTCTATTTAAATAATTAAGTATATGAAATAGTTGTAATGGTGGTAGATTTTTATTAAAAATTGTGACTATAGTGTCATGAGACTTCTTAAATTATGTAAGGATTGAGCTCGTAGATGTGCAGGTGTTATGAATTTCGAAGTTTAGTACGTACTCCCTTAGTCCCTCCGTCCTATAGAAAGTTTCTTATTTCATTTTTTGAATGTCTCATATAAAGGTTCCTATTTCCATTAGAAAACAATTAACAATCTTAAATGATAATTAATCATTAAATGTTAAAACTAATAGATTTTTAACATCACCATATATATCAACCATAACCTCATTATATTATATACCTATTAAAATTATTTCTCAAAATATACTCAAACTACCATGAGAATCTTTCAACGGGACGGAAGTAGTACTTACTGTTATATAATTCTGAAATTGACCCATGTGAGCTTAATTGTTTTTGGAAGATGAGAGCTTACTATACATTGATATATCACAGCATTAGCATTCTGAAATGGGTTAAAACGATATAGGGATCACTGACAACCACCATCCCTTGAACCAGACTTAGAGTTAATCACCTTTAACAAGCAATATAACTCATTGATTCTATAACGGGCTTACATGAGCCAAAGACGGTTGAAGTAGACCTACCATCACTCAATTTTAATGCAAGCTAAGAGTCTTACAATAAAAAATCAAAACAACAAAACAGTAAACAGTCTCAGTAAAGAAAACAATAACTAAAAAAGCAAAAATATAAAAAAAATTCTCAACTTTAAGTGCACCGCCATAAGCCAACCAAACGGTCTGTCAAGCATCTTCAGACAATCCGACGGATCTACCGGTCGAGAGCCGGCTCATCCCCGTTTTTTTGCTTGTTAAGTGCCATGTCTACACCAGCTGAATCCTCTTGTTCTTTCTCCTCCTAGGTGAGCTTAATTAAAATATTGTTATATAATTCTAAATTTAAAACATTTAATTAAGTACATTATCATCAAAATTGACCCAGGTGAGCTACCACTTCCCATTTATTTCCTTCAAGTCTTCAATCCAAAATGAGAGTTCAGAAGAATCACTTACATTGATTGAATTTTGTTTCTTGAAATAAGTTCTTTTGTAAAATATT